GCTAACAAACATAGGCTGCACTTTAGGTGGCACACCCATGGGTGCAGTGTAACCCAGTGGTTCTTTAGGTAGAGCTAACAAACATAGGCTGCACTTTAGGTGGCACACCCATGGGTGCAGTGTAACCCAGTGATTCTTTAGGCAGAGCTTACAAACATAGAATATACAGGTGTACATCAGATGGCAACACGTTTGTCAGAAAAGTGCTTTGTACTTTGTCAGAAAGTGCTACACCATGGTACTTCGACTATTTCTTTATCGCGCCCTTGATACATTGTTTTGACGCACAACTGATAGTCAGGAGAAGTCTATTGTCTAAAACCATGGCAAAAGACAAATTTACACACATCACAGAAGTAAGGTAAGGTAATACAAGGTATTTCTTTCAGGTATAAAAAAATTACATTCAAGTATAAAAAAATAACTACTAATAACTAATAATAACGATATAACAATAAAAAGCCTGTTTTACATTGAGGCCTTGTGTAAAGATACATATATCTAAATTAAGGTTTTAATTTTCCTTTAAAAACATTATTGCCACACCTTCAGAGACAAGCTGTTCCACCACACTCTTCCGGTATAAGAAAGGATTTTTTTAAAAAATTCAGTGCGGGGTTGAACAGCGAACTTGTATTCATGCATTTTCTGTTACGTTATAAGCAATTTAATCGCATGCAGCGACGAGCAAAACGCGAAGCCGTCAGATATTCTAGAACCGTGTTATTTACAGTGCTGTGCATTATTACTGCTTAACTAACTAACTACGCGTTGATGGAAATAAGTTTCGGCCGCTTTAAATTTTGACACAATTCACTGGTACTGTATAGTCACTAGTCATAATTGGAGCGGAAAGTTAGCATGCGAGCAGGGCGATTCGGCTGTAGTTTCTGCAACGTAGAAGATATTGCGGCAATGAGCTCCCGAGGTCCGTTCCCGAGATCACAACGACATATAGGATGAAATGTATTCTGCGTCTCCTTTTCCAGGTTAGGTTAAATAAACCCGTACCAACGGTTTGTTTGACAAAGCTTCCGCGAGACGGTTTTTTGGTGATTTTATTAATTTTTCCGATCCATTTTTTTTTCATCTTTATTTTGGCGGCTTTTGCTATACAAACTAAATTCATTTTTAGTTGTGATGGCACTACTTTTTAATCATGACGGCTTTGGAAGGAACTGAACTATTCTGCTTCGCGATTTCGCAAAATCACTGCGGGAATTAAAAAATTATTTTTCTTCCAAAAAGGCGTTTTCACCTCCACCTTCATTGTCGAGTCAATTATCTCGTTTATCTCGTTCTCTAAAGGTCCTTGAACACTGAGTAAGACAATATTGTATTACTTACAACCTAAGAACCTGATTTATTTTGACCAGATCGAAACAAAACTAACCCTTGAAATGGAAGAAGAAAAGCCTTTTATTTTTGACCGCTTCAGCCTGCCGACGCGATCGTGTCTGGTTTGCTTTCATATGATGACATTATCCTGACAGAAGGGTGTCGGGAAAAACACCTCGCGCTGATCATACGTGACGAAATCCGCCGCGTCTAAGCTAATGAAGATAAGCCTTCTAGAAGTTAGAGAATTATAAGGAATTGTATGGAGCTCTCCGGGATACTTACAGTGCAAGCCCTGTGTGTCTTCTCATGTTACTTAATCTTGTACTCCCGCGCGCGTTCCTGATACCCTGTTGGGTCGAGAGGAAATCATTTGTGTTGTGATCAATGCCGTTGCTGCGTTCTCACAAGTATTATCAATAGTAGAAAAAGGATGGAAACACTAAGGTACGATGAAAATTGTTCTGGTAAATGGTTAACTTAAGCGAATGAAGTACTGCAGAGTAACGGAGGGGACATGCAATATTTTTGACATTGACTTGTGCCATTAGTGAAAGGACGTGAACAATATACAGGTTATGAACCTCATAAATGATGAGCCAGCCGTTTGTGCTATCCCCTATATATAGATGTGTTTTTTTTGCAGACCTTTTCAAACCTAACTGATCCAAACCTTAAGCGTAGGTAGGCGTCGAACAGGTTAGACCAGGTTATGAATGTACTTTTGTAATGATTTTAGATGACCGCCTGCCATTTATTCAGGGGCATGATTTTTTATTGATGTTGGATGGACAACTACTTCATTTCCCTGCTCATAAATCATAGAATGCCAAAGAAATTGTTTTCAAGATAGACACACAAGTGTGTATCATCGCCAAAACAGCAATTACTTTGGCCCAGAAGTTCACTTGATGACAGGGAAAGCGGTATAACACGTGATCGATGACGGCCGTGCGCTGGAAAATCTTCCTTTTTTATGCGCTAATTACTCACAAAAGGCAAAAGAAGATTCCGCTATGTAGAAAGTGCTTCGCAATACATATTCTTGGCAAAAAAAATTTCAGCGATGTGGTGCAAATAAGGAGTTTCAACGGTTAACCACGAGAATACATATGGACATTAACTGTTGTAACACAAAGGAAACAGTGTTTTCCTCAGTTTGAGCTGTCGTTCTCTTTGAGAGTCAAATACCAGTTCACGTTTCAAAACTCTCTTTTCATTTTCTCTGCCTACAATAGACAAAAACACGGGGTTTCGCTTAAGAAATGCAGTCCAAATACACAGTCATATGCGCTCACGTCACGCTATTTGCGTAGCGTTATCATGTCACACAGGGTGTCACGAGGTGGGATTGAAAGTAATTGTTTTCGTGTACACTTGCAATGTTTGCTAAGCTGTCCCTATTTTTTTGTTTTTTTGAATTGGCTATGAATTTACCTTCACTTTTCCGTAGTTTTGATATTGAACGCAGTGACGGCCGCTCCTCACTAACGCTCCATATTGCCGTGGCCGGCCAGTGACTATCCCCACTACATGAGTAGTAGGGGAGGCACCGGTTACTCCTTTTCTTTGCGGATTTAATTAACTTTTTGTGCGGTATAAATTAACGTAGATGACGTCATGCATCTCATTAAGATAGGATGATGTCATAGTTTATTTTTAGCTGCCAAGGAGCAAGTGACGTCAGAATACCCTAAGGCTTGACGTCATCAAAAAATGTTGACATCATAATCTATAAATAGAATAGTGACATCATCTCCCTACTTGGTCATGATGATGTCATATTTATTCAGGTAACATGAGGTCCGGGTTTATTTTTTACGGGCCAGTTTTTTCCGTTGTTTCAGAACACATAAAATGGTCATTCCTTTCCAAGCAAATCATTCTCGAGATTCAATAATGATTTTTATATAATTAGCTATTTGCTATAGTCTCCTGGTTAGATATTGTTTGCTATAGTCTTCTTATTGGATATTGTAGAAACTGTTATGTGTTCAAAATAAAAGCGGGCAAATTTTGAACGTGTTATCCTTGCAAATTATACTAAATGAAAAATCTTTAATCATTAAATTATTTTCACTAAAAATCGGTTATAAACAAAACTAAGACACGGAGGTTAACTGAAAAATCTTTACTTCAAAAGAAGGGAAAAGAAGGTTAAGCGAATGCGAAATCGTACAAATTTTTCAGGCAAAACATGAAAACGAGGTCGAAGCTCAGCGAAGCGAAAAACTGCCTATCAAGCAAAAATGTCAATCTTTGTTTACGTGACTCTGTAGAAAGTATTGCACAGGGTATGAAAATTCTATAGAAAACAACAGGTGGTTCTAAAGTAAACCCTAACTATTTTGGTTCTTAAATAAACCCCATTCTTGTTCCTAATGAGTGGAAAGTCTATTTATAAAAATTGGAATAAGAAGGTGCGATTGCCTAGAAACACATGTCTTCTTATTTAGCGCTAAAAATCGGATATATAACAAAACACACACATACAAAAAGTGGAGCTGAAAACTCTCTACTTCAATTTTGACTCACCATTACAAAAGTGTTTTCTCCGTTCTATCTCGAGGAAATTCAGCGCTTGGTGAGCTTATGGTCTTGTCAATTCACGCGCCGTTAGCGTTAGTCAGTTAATTATGCCGGTTAACAAGCCCAAAGTTGAATACAAATTAGTTTATCTCTACAGCTAGACCCAAGGGAGCACTTTGACTTATTATTGTAAAAACACAAACAATTAATAACTTAACAAGGATCAATTTAAACAAGCGACAAATAAATTGACAAGACACGAGATACAGTTTTAAAAACTTTATTGAAAACCAGTGACAAAAAGAGTCAAATACACAGCGATTTAAAAGGGATGGAAATTAGACCTCCTCTTCGTTCTCCTCTTTAGAAGGTGAATAAAAATTGGTTTCCAACGTCTTGGCTTTTTTGTATGCCACAATCGTGACACCGAAGAAAGCCTTCTTTGATGTATTTCCTTTCCTTGGGGATCTGGTGATCGCATATAGGACAAATCTTGTAGTTATCGTGCCAAAAGCATTCAGGACATTTCATGATCAATGTGGAGTACACATCAGAGTTTTCGCAATGTCCACATGGACTTTTAGAGTGAAAGGTGGTGGACGTTTCAAGGCTACTTCTTTCTGTTTCCTCACTATCATTTTCAGTGTCGTTGTCGCTCTCTTGGGTGCCTTCAGTTTCAACGCCATTCTCAGAAGCCACTTCCTCCTCCTCCTCCTGATTTTCAATATCCGATGAACTCTCCTCATTATTACTCTCATTATCGGAAGTATTTTCTACATTTCGGTAGCCTTTTTCCTTTTTTTCCTTTTTTTTCCGCTGTGTTTGTGACGGGAATTATACGTTTATTTCAAAGTAATTGTCCGCGGGGAGTCCAGAAAATAATATCTTTGGACGCGGCCATACTATGCAGCAAATCAGAAGCACGCTTTACCGACACTGCTCGGGAAAGATGACTCAAAACATCTTTTACTCTTGGTTCTTCTTTTATTCTTGGTTCTTCATCCTCGCTTTCATCACCGGAACAGGGATTCGCTTCTTTGTTTTGTAAGGGACATTTGTTTCTGCTAGGTTTACTAGAGCATTCTTATATGGCAACACGTTCCGCTTATTTTCTTCGGGGATAAGAATGTATTCCTTAAGTATATTGTATAAGACTTGGACTAATGCATGTAGTTGTTGTGGACTGGCTGTCCGTAAAAGAAACTGTCGCTGATGAGCTGGACAAATAGCTAAGAGTTGAAGAAAACCACGATTGTTCTTGACAACTCGAGACATTGCGACAAACTGAACTTATCATTGTAGTTTGCAGTCTTTTATTGACTGTCGTGGAGAAAAACAACGGAAATGTGGTGGCGGTGGAGGGAAAACAATAGAAATGTGGTGGCGGTGGTGGCGGTGGTGGAGGGGAAACAATAGAAATGTGGTGGCGGTGGTGGTGGTGGAGGGAAAACAATAGGAAAGTGGTGGTGGTGGAGGAAAACTATTGAATTGTATAGCCTTCAAAACCATATCAATGCGCATTATGCTAGCATTTTCTCAGTCTACATTCTGCTCCTGAGGAGTTAACATGAGTTGGCTCTGTTCTGTCTGCGAAAAGTCCTTTAGTAGAAAGGATAGCATGCAAAGGCACGTGATGTCTAAACACCGCAATGCTGGTCTCACCCCATTTCAAACAGTTCCAATATTTTCACAGAAGTGTCAGCGATTTCGCTTCGAGCACCCTTTCACATCCATGATTGCCGGAATGACCGGGTCCGGAAAAACGGCCTGGGTTCGATCGCTATTGCAACAAGCTTCAGAGACCATTTACCCTCCCGCGGAGAAGATAGTTTGGTGTTGTTCACAATGGCAGCCTGCGTATACACAAATGTTAGTCGCCATGCCAAACATTGAATTTGTCAAGGGAATTCCTACGGCTTCGGAGCAGGATTCCTATTTTGACGTGAACAAACGGAAGTTGATCGTGTTTAATGATCAGATGATTGACGCTAGTAAAGATAAGCGAATTGTGAACCTCTTTACTCGTGGTTCTCATCATCGCAATCTGAGCGTGATTTATATCGTGCAGAATCTATTTCATCAGGGGAAAGGTAGCCGCAGCATAAGCCTAAACAGCCATTATCTGGTGTTATTCAAGAATCCACGAGACAAATTGCAAATCTTGACTCTGGCGAAGCAAATGTATCCCGGGCAGACGGATTTCTTTTTAAATCAGTACGAAGAGGCTGTAAAAAGACCTTTTGGTTATCTTCTGATTGATCTGAAAACTACTACCCAAGATAATTGTCGGTTGCGAACAAACGTCCTGCCCAGTGAAGAATGCTTTAACCAAGCAGGGTTTAAAGAAAATATTCCTCAAGAGCTTCTAAAATATCTGAAGCAGCAAACTCTTTCGCCTGTCCCGCTTCTTCCAGCTATGCAAGAAATACAAGGCAACATGGATGACGTGCTTTCTCGAAACGATCTTCGGGACGATGAAAAAGCTAAACGATACCTTCAGTTGCAAAACAGATACCTGGCTTTTAAAGAACAATTAAATACAAGAACACGACCGGGAGAAATAATCAGCACTGTTCCAGACTTAACATCAAGGACACAAGATTATTCGACAGCAGCGACAGCATTCTCGACTCCCCTCGACCCCTTTAATGTAACACCTGAATTAACACAAGCGGCTATCTCTCAAAAACCTGACAAAGAAAGCCTCACCCCTCCACCACCCTTAAATCCTGCTCTCCTGACCCCTCCTCCCACAGTAGAAACCCCATCACAACAAGGCCCGAAGCGCAAAAGGCGTCGAATTCAATTTGTAAATTATTTGGATGGTCATAAAGCTCATGCCAAACAGCTGAAGAAACGTCGGCATAAGAAAATCAAACCTTACAAGTACTCCATGGGCGAAGAAGATGAAGATTAATTAATTTCCATCCCTTCCAAATCGCTGTGTATTTGACTCTTTTTGTCACTGGTTTTCAATAAAGTTTTTAAAACTGTATCTCGTGTCTTGTCAATTTATTTGTCGCTTGTTTAAATTGATCCTTGTTAAGTTATTAATTGTTTGTGTTTTTACAATAATAAGTCAAAGTGCTCCCTTGGGTCTAGCTGTAGAGATAAACTAATTTGTATTCAACTTTGGGCTTGTTAACCGGCATAATTAACTGACTAACGCTAACGGCGCGTGAATTGACAAGACCATAAGCTCACCAAGCGCTGAATTTCCTCGAGATAGAACGGAGAAAACACTTTTGTAATGGTGAGTCAAAATTGAAGTAGAGAGTTTTCAGCTCCACTTTTTGTATGTGTGTGTTTTGTTATATATCCGATTTTTAGCGCTAAATAAGAAGACATGTGTTTCTAGGCAATCGCACCTTCTTATTCCAATTTTTATAAATAGACTTTCCACTCATTAGGAACAAGAATGGGGTTTATTTAAGAACCAAAATAGTTAGGGTTTACTTTAGAACCACCTGTTGTTTTCTATAGAATTTTCATACCCTGTGCAATACTTTCTACAGAGTCACGTAAACAAAGATTGACATTTTTGCTTGATAGGCAGTTTTTCGCTTCGCTGAGCTTCGACCTCGTTTTCATGTTTTGCCTGAAAAATTTGTACGATTTCGCATTCGCTTAACCTTCTTTTCCCTTCTTTTGAAGTAAAGATTTTTCAGTTAACCTCCGTGTCTTAGTTTTGTTTATAACCGATTTTTAGTGAAAATAATTTAATGATTAAAGATTTTTCATTTAGTATAATTTGCAAGGATAACACGTTCAAAATTTGCCCGCTTTTATTTTGAACACATAACAGTTTCTACAATATCCAATAAGAAGACTATAGCAAACAATATCTAACCAGGAGACTATAGCAAATAGCTAATTATATAAAAATCATTATTGAATCTCGAGAATGATTTGCTTGGAAAGGAATGACCATTTTATGTGTTCTGAAACAACGGAAAAAACTGGCCCGTAAAAAATAAACCCGGACCTCATGTTACCTGAATAAATATGACATCATCATGACCAAGTAGGGAGATGATGTCACTATTCTATTTATAGATTATGATGTCAACATTTTTTGATGACGTCAAGCCTTAGGGTATTCTGACGTCACTTGCTCCTTGGCAGCTAAAAATAAACTATGACATCATCCTATCTTAATGAGATGCATGACGTCATCTACGTTAATTTATACCGCACAAAAAGTTAATTAAATCCGCAAAGAAAAGGAGTAACCGGTGCCTCCCCTGCTACTTACATGTCAATCCTTACCCTACCCGTGATTGTTTGCGCCTTAACAATCGGATAAAGTGAAGAACGAGAAATATTCACTTTATTAAAAATAGTTTCAGTACGCATACTCTTGAAATTCATCAAACGTTGTACATGTGCGCGAGTTTCAGCGTCAGTTTTTAGCTTGTAACCCATATCGACGTTAATTCTGGATATCGCAACCCTTTTATTACGTCATCACGTAATTCGAATTGGCCCTATAATTCGGTCGTGAATAAGTCAATGTCACCCCCACCACCAATAACATAATTATGTCGTCGATTCCTTTAATTTCAGTTAAAATCAGTGTCATGCACTGCTCAACTTGTGTCCAGTAGCACAATTTTGCATTCAGACAATGAGGGACAAAAGTGTTCACACACTTCCATACAATGGCCCCTTTTTGCATAGTGGATATACTTATACCCTTCCCCTGTGTACCCCAACCCCTTTCCCCCAAAATCAATGTTGAATTTTGGACCCTTAAGTCTTTTATTTACTTCAGACAACATTGATTCGGGGGGTGAGGGGATTTACGGCGTTTAAAAAGAATGAAATAAAAAACGAATTAAATGTTTGTTAAAAGCACCCGTTCTAAACAAGTGTGTCAACTACTTTTGTCCCTGATTGTAGCTATCTATCTATCTATCTATCTATCTATCTATCGATCGATCGATCGATCGATCGATCTATAACAAAAGCCTTTTTCGGAGCCGAGGTCCAGAAACACAACGGCATCAATTTTGTACGGTGCTATTATTCTTTTTAAAAAGAAATGGGCCTTGGATCTCGTGGAAATTTGTAGAGGGCTTAAACTGTGCTAATAAAATTCGTTAAGAAGAATAAAGCTTGGATATTTATCCTGTGTGTTAAGCAATGAAACAAGACTTTGTTAACAACGTAGGATATGATCTGGCTGTTACCACAATGTTCTCTGTCTTGGATTTTTTTCAAACTTTCAGATTTCTCCAATAAAAGCGTAGAATGTAGATAGATGGATACTTTATTGGTATAGACATCGCAGCCAGAAGCTAAATTAAGTATATACATAACAACTACTAAATTATAGTAAGAAAACACATAAATTAAAATCGATTTAAGAAAAATTATAATTCTAAAGAATATCTACATATACATAAAAATGTATAAAATACGAACACAGTTTTATTTTATTATAAATTAATGGCTATTCTAATGAGTTTACCCGGGGGCATTGGGAATTGATAAAACAATTCCTGGGCTTGCAAGTTTTAAACTTGACATCAAAANCCCCCACCACCAATAACATAATTATGTCGTCGATTCCTTTAATTTCAGTTAAAATCAGTGTCATGCACTGCTCAACTTGTGTCCAGTAGCACAATTTTGCATTCAGACAATGAGGGACAAAAGTGTTCACACACTTCCATACAATGGCCCCTTTTTGCATAGTGGATATACTTATACCCTTCCCCTGTGTACCCCAACCCCTTTCCCCCAAAATCAATGTTGAATTTTGGACCCTTAAGTCTTTTATTTACTTCAGACAA